AACCTATAGAGTAATTGAACAGTTGAAAACTTGAAAAATATACACTGTGATCAGTCTTTTTTGCACATTAACATTTTGTCTATTTAGTTTATTTGCACTGTAATCTAAGATATAAAAAAGTTATGTTTCAAGCCATTTCTATAGATACTTTGTCAGGCTGACTAGAATTATATTTATCATTTTATTTACACCTGTCAGCTAAAACAAAATGTTTACAAAACTTCCAAGACTTATTTTCAAATGGCCAGCTGTTATTTGTTTGTTTTTGAAAAACTTTAAATTGTGTTCATGTTCTGGCAATAAACAGTTGTTTAATAACATGCTTAACTGTCTGGTTTTCACAAATTTTATACAGGAGCAAAAATCTGCCTTAAACCTAAAAGCAATTTTAAGATTTAAAGTTATCGTGATAATTATCGTTATCGTCTGATATGGAAAATTTTATCGTGATAATTTTTTCAGCCATATCGCCCAGGCCTATCACCTGTATTACTTTTTAAATTAAAACAACCTTTGTGCATGTTGTAACAAGTCATTTTTCAGACCAGGCAGTCCAAACTGAACCATGTACAACTTTGACTGTTGCATACACTTACTCATACTAGCAATCCGTGTTGTGCTTGGGTATGTTAGACCCCAAAGTCCAGTTTGTCAGACTCATGTGAATGCTATGTTCATGCTGGACTGTGCCAGGGCACGGTCCAACATGCCGGCTCAGCTGGACTCAGGCACCGTACGCATAGTGTGATCGCTAACCGTGCCCAGACATGGAGCACCGGCGCTATGTGCTACGCGAGAGCGCTTCTCTTCAGTTGCATAGTGGAGACTTGGTGTAAGTCTGCTCTAGGACAGATCGTTTCAAGTGTAGTGTGAACGTGTAGTTGTGCTCTGGCATGGTACGAGGCAACTGTGCCTAGTGTGATTACACCTTTGTTTGCTGTCTAAATCAAGATTATTTGTTTACAAGTTTTTATTGATACATAATGTTTTGATTTTTAAAAAAAAATTTTTTACTCCCATATATTGACAACATTATTAGCCGAGCTATAATGGCTAATGTCATATGTCAAGATACATGTTGTATGAGTGTTGACTCTGTGTTTTGAATTAGGAAGTTAATTCATCTTATCATTCTTTGGTTTGTATTCTTCTTCTTAATTACAACCTTGTCATATACAACATTATTAGAACATTACCTGTGGGGAAATGAGCATATTATGATGTCAAAAATATCGAATGAAATAAAGTAAAATGCATACAATAAGTCAAAGGTTGTACATATGGGAATAATTATATATATGATTGACATTTTCAGCATGTTCACAATTTACTACACTTCTTAGAGAGCAGAAGCATGAATAGCCTACAATGGAGATGGAGATGGTAGCACAGTGGGTTCAAAAGTGCCACCAAAAATCTTGTTTCTTTACACATTTCCACTTCTTAGGAACCTGAATTTGGAACCATTTCCAGTTCAGGTTCCAATTCACTGCTCAACCTGATGTAATAGATTTTTTTTTCTCTTTTAAATTGCAGTCAGTGGCCATTTAGATAACAGACAAAAATATCACAGTATTTTGAATTTTGAATGCCTGCAAATGTATTGGGGGGGGGTCCTTTGGGGCCCCCCAGTTTAAAAAAAAAAAAAAAAAAAAAAAAAAAAAATGGAGTTATTAAGACAGAAAGAAGAAAAGGTTAGGAAACTTGCTGACCACTGTCAGGAACACTGAAACTTTATATGCATATATAAGTTTTTTTATTAGTTCTGTTGAGGTGTGTGTGTGTGTATGGTTTAATCATAATGTAGGTGCAACGGTGAAAGTCCAGCAGTATTACTTAGCAGACCTCACCTGCCAGCTGCCCTGTGTTGACTCTCCATGACAAAGGTGTGGCCGGACTTCAGTCTGAACGCCAGTCGGTTTTTATTAGATTATAGATGAACTTTCGATGGATGGTTGGCCACTTAGGTTGAGTGATAGTTGGTAGAAAATCAATAACAATACTTCTGAAATGAAACAGCTGACAACCACATAGTGAAGTTACTAGGGATAAATCTGATATTGGACAGAGTTATGTGCCTATAAATTATATGTACATAGTATGTATCTTCCTCTTTTTGTGTTGGCCTTAACATTTTTCATTCTGTTTCTGTTTCACTCCATTATTTCATCAGTCAGTCCCGATGTCTTCTGTGCTCAGCTGACTGTGTGTGTGTGCTAGTAAGTCATTTGGTCTCTTACAGGAGCAGGAAGAAAGTGAATTGGTATCTTCCAGCTACTGACTGACTGAACACCTGATCCAGGTAATCAGCAGTGGGTAGATTAGGGATAGTTGGAAAACAAGCAGGGCAGTGGCCCTCAGGGGTCAGGATTGCCTACCACGGGTTTAAACACTGATTGGTGACTGACAGGTCATTCTTGTTGCCAGCTTACATTTCATTTTTTTTAGACCAAGCCACCTCTCTGTTATTTTTCAGTGCATAAAACTCACCCTTATTTTTTATGTTCATTTTGATATGCTGCCTTTTTACATCCATTCAGCTTAGACACACTGCAAAAACACTTAGGTGCTGCACCTAGGTCTTCTTATGGTAGGGAAAACCCTGTTATATGTGAACATGTCACCAGCAAGTGTTGTTCCTGTTAATGTTAAATGATATAACTGCACCAGAGTGTTTTACGCCGGATGCCCTTCCTGACGCAACCCTGATTCGAACGCGGGGCGCAGCGGCAAGAGCGCTGTGCCTTAACCACTACCAGGGACGGCTGGAAGTATAGTTTTCTACAGATTCTTAAATTACATTTTGAATTCAGGATTTCTTTCACCTTCACTTTTTATGTACTTAATATAGTCGAATGGAAAAATATAATGAGGCTAGAACAGTGACGTGTGTTCAGTGGTCTGTCTTGTGCATGGTGCACAGAACAGATGTGTTTCTATTTTAATCAAACCAGCTGTTTATACAGGCCCTGTCGCTGCTTGTGCTGTGCTCGCGCTGTATACATGTAACTGCAACTGGAGGCACATTTTTATACTTCAACCCTGTGTTCTTCTGTTTTACTCATTTAACTACAGTGATTACATTCACTACTTGGCCTGAACGCGTCCTGTGTAAATGGGGATGGAGCACTGAAGCTGCTGCTCTGCTGATGTGCTACTTGCATTTTTGATTTGTAACTGAAGTCATACACTGCTTATGAGCTGCTCTAGTGTTGTCGCTGGGGTAAACTCATAGTTACACACAAAGCAGGTCTGAGTTTTTGCTGTATTTAGAAGCAGTGGCACAGTAGCTGTAGAGTGAAGGGTTGACATTCTCCTGCTTGGTCTTAGAACTGACACTGATGACCTTACAAACATAGGACAGATGTCCACCCTCAGGCTCACATCACCATCCTGCTCAATCATTCATGTGCTGCTTATTTTTACATGCGATGGAGGTCTTGTGTATTGTTTAGTATTTGTGTGTGTGTGTGTGTGTGTGTGTTTGCACATGCATGCACTTAGAAGAATCTAGAGATCAGCTAAAGAGCAGAGTAATCTCTCCACTGCAGGGCCGTTCAGTCCATCAGCTGTGGACAGTGTGCGATGATGTGTCAGGGACTCATCTTTATTCAGCACTGGCAGGAGGCTTGTTGAGGGAGCTACACCGACAGGAGCACTAACCTCAAGTCATTCTCCTGCTCAGAATTTCACATCATCCTAAAACACAACCCAAATCAGCGAAGAGTTAGTTTTAACCACTGACTGCGTATAAATAGGGAGAAACAGTATTTTGATTTTCTGTATGTCCGGCCGACATCTTTGATCTTGATCTTGTCATGACAGCCACTTTGAGTCAATCAACCCTGATTCATATATACAGACTGGTTTTAGCTAACAACTGACTTGCATGAACAAAATAAGGACAGTATTTTGGTAATTGTCAAATAATGGGTGGGTCTCAAATACAAACGCAGAATGGATTGTGTTTACAATAAAGTCATATCAGCAGATGTGTGATATGGGCTGTATATATATCAGACATCTCAGAATCTTTCATCAGCTGTCACAGTTGAGGAGAGTTTGTGGCTCAGATGATAAATTCGGCTTGGTGACATATCAGCAAACTGTTGGTAGGATCTGTGAGTCAAACTGGCCTTCCCACACTGTGCTTGGTCACTTCACCAGTGAGGTGAAAGAACACGACCCCACCCTCTCAGTCACTTACATATCAGTGCCTGCTAACTTATAAAAGGTTATGATACCTCTGGAGCAACCTTCCTGTGATTAACACATGATAAATCCTACTCCCAACACTAGAACCACATCTGTGACAGGACTAATATCCTCCTTTGAGATACTAAGACATATAAATATAGGTACTGGTTCTAGATGTATTTATAACAATATCAGATTGCATTTATTTGCACTATGTGCATACTCATAAATCAGATTACAAGTGTGAACAAAGAAGGATGTGTATGAGGTGGCGTAAACCAAATGGGGCAATAATAGCAGAGTGAAGTCCCTTATTGACCAATATTTCATTGTCATGTTTATATAAGGACAAAGTTGTTTCTCACTGTCTTGCATTATTTTTCTCCCAGAAGCAAATGTCTTAATAAATGTCATCACCACTTGCTGACAGTCTGCTTCTGGGTTTTCATGTTCTTCCACCTCCTCTGAGCACTAGTTCTCTCTTCTTTACTTCTCTGTCTTTATTTCTCTTTGCTCGTATTTTATTGCTGCCGTCTAAGGCGAGTGCGTGTTTGATAAATGTCAGAGTTAATGATTCAATGTTTAACTAGACTGTTGAACGCAGTGAACACCTTCAGCTATGGGTGGTTAAATGGACCATATTTTTCATTTACAGGGATACTACTGAATCTACTGAACATTAAACTGGGGTGTTACAAAGTCATCATTAATCAGCTCCAGTCCTGTACTAAGCTCTGATAAGCTAACACAAGGTTTGAGACCGGATGACTGGGTTTTCTGTTGTGTCTTTGTGTTTGTTGCAGGTATTTTACAACATCCAGATGGAACAGTCCTGAAGCAGCTTCAGCCACCGCCAAGAGGTCCACAAGAGATGCAGTTTTACAACATGGTAATACCTAATGCATTACTGGCATCTATTTCCCCTCCCATATATACAAACAGAAGGGGAAGACAAGAGTCTGAACATCTGTAAAATGTACTAATGCTGATCAGCTGTTATGAAGATCACATGCTTTTCTGTTTCTTATTGACTTTTTGTCTTGTTGATCATTAGTTAAAAATCCAAAGATATCACATAAAGCTCTGATAATACTGAATTTTGAAGAATGACTTCAGCCATTGTCTCACTTGTAGTAAATAATTTTTTTGTCAACCAATAAGTCATCATTTTAGTACAAGCTGATGTTCCAGTTCCATGCTCAGTATCACATTGCATATCATATTTTTGAATTGTGTAATGACTTTGTGTTGTTACACCACGACTAATAATGCAGGAATGGATGGGATAAGCAAACTGTAAAGACAAATCTTCCTCAGGAAGAGTAAGGACTGTCTATCTAAGCAGGGGTAAAAGAGGGAAGAATGGATGGAGACATGTAAATAGTTAAATATGAGTATAGATGTCAGAGTCCACATTTATGTCTGCCGCTTCAGAGCTTCAGTGTTTGCTTTTGAGCTTAGCAGCACTGTCGGTCTCAGCAGTGCTCATCCAAACAGGACTCGGCCTGACTTTTGACCAAACCAACCATGTAATCCCAGCAGCAGACACATCACACACTGACTCAGCATCCTGTGCCGTCGGAGGCCTAGTTGCAGTCGGAACAGAAACACTGAGCAATGTAATGCATTTTGAAATACACTGTTTTAATTTGTATTCATATTTTGCTTTATCCAGTTCAGAATAACTCCATATTTATCAACGTGGGGCTGATCCGAACTGGTAGCATTATGATGTGTATATAAATTGTACTTGTTCCTTTTCGGAAAAACCTCAGAATGAAAAAATGAACTGAAATCATACTGAATTGGTGATGTTTTTTTTTACTATTTATTTATCAAATGAGAAACAAATAAACAAAAGAAGCACTTTTAGACTTGAACATGTGATGGATGTTTTTCAGTATTTCCTGACATTCAAGCACCTAAACAAGTAATTGAATAAGCCAAAAAATGGCCACCAGATTACACCAACATGGAAATAGTTACTGCAGTGCTATGTTAAATACATGTATACAGTATCCAGATGATGTAAGGGTGTGTGTCCAGGTGTATGCAGAGGACTGCTGTGATCCATGTCTTCTGGAACTCCAGAACCACCTTCCCAAGTACTACGGGACCTGGTCCTCTCCTGACAGTCCCACTGGTCAGTGATTATGAAATGCGTTTGTCTCCCTCATACACACTAGTTGCATATGGAGCATTTACAGTGTAAATGTCAACCATATCAGCGCCCTCTGGTGGACAAACTATTGAAAATGCTCTTTCTAAATGAACTCAAACCTAGTTTATGATTTCTGGTCATTTCTTTTTACCTGCAGTTAGCTGATATCAGACAATATATCTGCCTGGCAGATTTATCGCTCTAGACAATATGTGAGACGCAGTGTATGCTGGGATAAGCCCAGCACCCTGCAACTCTCAATAGGGATAGGAGCCCAACAGTTTCACTACAAGGAAAGATGGTTTTGGTGCAGTTTGAGCAAATTTGACATAACACATGGTGGACAATGTTGATTATACATTGTCATTTTTAATAAAAGCTAACATTGGTCTCATATGAACTAGCTAGTAATACCTCCTTAGCACACATCATCACTCTTGTTTCTGTGCCACTGAATCAGACCTGTACCTGAAGCTGGAGGACGTGACTCATCACTTTGCCAAGCCATGCATCATGGACGTGAAGCTGGGCCGGCAGAGCTACGATCCATTCGCCTCGCAGGAGAAACGGGAACAGCAGATTAGAAAATACCCACTGATGGAGGAGATTGGCTTCCTGGTCCTCGGCATGAGGGTGAGTGGGACTTGTTGTGCTGCCATGCATGTAGATGCGTGGAGGGGGAGCATAACATAACAGAGCATCATGGGGCCCCCCAGCAGCCTAGGCCTATAGCAGCATAACTAAGGGAAGGCTGAGGGTCACCTGATCCAGCCCTAACTATAAGCTTTATCAAAAAGGAAAGTCTTAAGTCTAATCTTAAAGGTAGAGAGCTCCCGAACTGAGACTGGGAGTTGGTTCCATAGGAGAGGAGTTTGATAGCTAAAGGCTCTGCCTCCCATTCTACTTCTGTGGACTCTAGGAACCACAAGTAGACCTGCACTCTGAGAGCGAAGTGCTCTGTTAGGATGATAAGGCTCTATGAGGTCTTTAAGATATGATGGAGCCTTGTCATTAAGGGCTTTGTATGTTAGGAGAAGGATTTTAAATTCTATTCTGACTTTTACAGGGAGCCAGTGGAGAGAAGCTAATATGGGAGAGATATGATCTCTCTTGCTAGTTCCTGTCAGTACTCTGGCTGCAGCATTTTGGATTAACTGGAGGCTTTTTAGGGAATTATTGGGACATCCTGATAGTAAAGAGTTACAGTAGTCCAGCCTGGAAGTAACAAATGCATGGACCAGCTTTTCAGCTATTGTAATTAGCAGGAAGAAATGTTGGCAGCAATATTGGCATTTTGTCCTCCATAAATGTTAGTTTGTACTGACATTGCTAACTGATGCCAACAAGTACCTGATGTTCCACACTATAAGGGGCACCTAAGAGCCTTAAATTTTCTCAAAAACCGGCCGTGCGCCTAATAATCCGGTGCGTCTTATGTTGTTGTGCGACTTTGGTAAGCGTTCCGCTTGATTGACTGTCGGACCATTTCCCGCTGACACAGGGACGTAATACGTACACTACGTACGCTGGCAGCGATAAACCAGTCTAAACCGGTCTAAGGACCCCCGAAAATGGCACCAGTGAAGAGACATGCTTACGAGGCACAATTCAAACTACAGGCTATCAGTTACGTGGTTGTAAATGGGAATAGAGCAGCTGGGAAAGAATTCAAAATCAATGAATCTATGGTTCGGAAGTGGATTTGTGGGAGAAGATTGATTAAAAAATAATGTGAGTGTATTGTTAAATAGTAGAATAAAGTTCAACTAAACTCACTGTTTTGCTTCTGTCACGTTTTAGCATGCGCCTTATAATCCGGTGCGCCTTATGGTGCAGAAAATACGGGTAATGATCACAAAGACTCTTGCATATCCTGGTTTGGGTTTTTCCTGCCTGCAGCAAGAAGCAAACAAAAAATAACCAATGAGATGAAATATTTTATGTAACAAAATATTGCATGTCAAATGTTTTGTTTTTCACATTTTGACAAAATACAGACTTACAGTATATGTGTGTGTCACCAGCCTGCCATTGCAATATATAATAATTGTATTAAGTGTAGATACTATTAATTCAAGATAAAACGGTTAAAAAATGATATATAGTATTCCAAATGTTTTTCTTTCACGCCTTCTGATTAGTAACACTAAATTTACTTGGTAGTTTACTTGTCCTTAATTTGGACTGGATGTTTCTATACTCCAGGACTGACAACTTTAATCTGAAATCATACAGTCCAATTTGAATTGAATTTATTTTTACAACTCTCATTTTCTGCTAATTTCCTCTGAGTTTTCATATACGTAGAATTGTTTGCTCAACTTGAACATATTTTACATGTCTATATGTTAGTAGCAGCTAAGTAGAATGAGCTTATCTAAAGTGTATCAGTGAAATAATGTTTTCAACATAATCTTTAAAAACTTCCAAAGGTATCATTCAGCTTTGAATGGCTTACTGTTCATTTTCAAATCGAGAGACAGTCTGGTACATATCTTAAAATGCACATTGAGCTTTTTGCATTTGAAAATCATAGTTTTAGTGGAAGAAAATCAATAACAGGATAAGTCATAATAAAGAAGTTTCCACTTCTGTTTTCAGAAAGTTAACCATGACTATATATAGAGGGTGGGTGTGACTTAGAGGTGAGAGGAGGTCATGAGCTGCCTTTTAAGGAAATGAGTAATATATCTCCAACTGCCTGTTGGACTGCCTAGCGTATAAGAAGAAACAACCTACTGATTGATGGTTTATCTTGAAAGGCCTGATAGTGTGTGTCTAACTGGATCCTCGGTGTAAATGTCGCTGATGGGACGCCAGCTTTATGGCTGCAGGGCCCCACCCTATGTAAGCAGGCCAGAAATGTGCTGTCTACTTGTGTACATAAGCCAAGTGTTCTGATGTTTGTTCATTTAGTCTCTGTGGAGACCAGTGGGTATTCATGAGGTGAACTTCCTGTTTGATCTATGCTACTGTGCTCTACTACTGGCTGACAAGTTAAACGTCACCAGGCGACAGAAAATTCTATATGATCACCTGTTTGCCCTTATAAGCCTGATCATATGTTCTGTATGAAACACCTTGTCAGCATAATGCAATAGACCAAGTGAGTGGCTTTGAATCATGTTGCCATCACTGTATGGATATGCAAAAATAGGCCCAGAGGTGAGATGACGTTTTTAAAGGCAACCAGTTCAGCGTTAGCCCAAATTACAATTTAAAAGATAAGGTTGGTCATTTTCTGTATTAATAGTGTTTTCAACAATCACCCTACAGAGACTAAAGCACATCAGTGTTTCTTTTACAAAACATCAGACCTGCATATTTGTTAAAAATGTTGCCCTGACTGCTTCAAAAGACCATAACTTTGTACTGATTTTGAAGTAAGCAAAAATCAACTGCGCATGCAGCTCTCCCTGCTTTGTTGCTCTGCTTCATTTCATGGATGTGGCTTTGTTTTGTTTGTTTACAGTCTGCTAGCTAACAGAGAGCTTGCCCATGCACAGCTGATTCTTGTACTTCAAACACTGTAATAAAGTTGCAATCTTTGGAATCTTTTAGGGCAACATTTTAACAAATTATGCAGGTTTAGTAAATCATAATAAAGAAACACGTCACCCAGCACAGTGGTGTGTTTCACTGATGTATTGTTGATTGTTTTTGAACAACATTAGAGGTCTATGGTTGGAGACTGATGGACAGTAACAATGAGTAGAAGCAATTTGTTGTGGGTTTTGGGGAGTGTTGAAAATGCTATTAATATGGAAAATGACCAGCCTTATCCTTTAATCAGAAATCCTCATACTCTGTTATGGGTTTGTTTAGACAGAAAGGAGGCTAGTGGTCATGATCTTTCTGATGGAGGAGTGATGGTGTGGGAGGAGACATTTAAAAAAAGACTTTAAGGTAACAATAAAAAGAAGTGATTAAGTGCGGTGCTGAGGAGAGAATCTTCTAGTCTTTGTCTTCAGATGTGGTTGCTGTAACTAATCCAGGCTAACATGCTGTTGTGTGGCAAAAAGATCTTGCGTGTGATAATCTACAATAGAAAATTGTCCAGAGTAGTAGAGAGTCCAGCCTCTCTCGAGGAGTAAAGTTCCAGAGCCCAAGCTGTGCGTGGAGGTGAGCCCGACTATATCTAGCCGGTACCTCTCAACCTCCCGCACAAGCTCGGGCTCCTTCCCCACCAGCGAGGTGACATTCCATGTCCCCAGGGCTAGTCTTCGTGTCCAGAGATCGGGTCGTCGGGGCCCCTGCCTTCGACTGCTGCCCAATCCACTATGCACCGGCCCCTTACGGATCCTCCTGCAGGTGGTGGGCCCACGGGCGCACCCTTAGAGATAGGGTGAGGAGCTCGGTCACCCGGGAGGAGCTCAGAGTAGAACCACTGCTCCTCCACATCGAGAGGAGCCAGCTGAGGTGGCTCGGGCATCTCTTTCGGATGCCTCCTGGGCGCCTTCCTAGGAAGGTGTTCCAGGCATGTCGGCATTCCCTCGGAGGAGCTGGAGGAAGTGTTGGAGAGAGGGAAGTCTGGGCATCTTTGCTTAGACTGCTGCCCCCGCGACCCGGTCAGGGATAAGCGGAGGAAAATGGATGGATGGATGGATGGATGGAGAAAATTGTCCACATTTTTTCATTATAAATCAAAGAAAGAAATTTGTGTCTGAAAACGAGTTTCCGTCCAGGATTCACCCTGCAACATGTTGGTCATGATCCAGCTAACTGTCTGCAGGTGTATGCCCTAGCCATCTTACACTCGCTGCTCAGTTTGATGTGACGGAGGCGTGTGTGAGTGCAGCAGGGTGATCATTAAGAGGGAGAACCAGCACTTCAGGCGTGCTCATTCCTGGTCAGCACACATTTCTTATTACTGAGTTCTGTCTTTTGACTGATGAAAACAGTGAGAGTGTGGTTTTAACAGCTAAGTGTGAACCTAGTTTAGTAAATGATGGGATGCTGTATCAGGGACAAGCTGAGCAATAGCAGCTGTGTTACTACTCTCAGCTAAATTCAGCTTTGTTGCATCAAGAACAAAACAATGTGTGTACAAACAATTACATTCAATTATTCAGTGTATTTTCTTGTGTTTCAGGTATATAAAGTGTGCAGTGACAGTTTTGACTCCTATGACCAGTACTATGGAAGGGCACTGGTTAAGGACACCATTAAAGATGGTATGTGTGGGTGTATAACTGGTGGGTTTTCACTAACACTAACAAATAATTTACTTCTACTGACAGTGAATTGTAGGTAGGACCTTTCAGAGTAGCTCAAATAAACACAGTACAGTATGCTGAGAGAGGAACAGCCAATTGGGCACAAGGATTTATCCTGCATCCTACATACTGTATTATGAGATGTACAGTATGTAACATTGACCTCCCAGTCAAAAAAACACCCCTCCTTTTTTTCTCCTCCCCTCCAGGACTGGCAAAGTTCTTCCATAATGGTGTAAGTCTGAGGAAGGACGCAGTATCAACCAGCATCCGCAGGGTGCAACAAATCCTCCGGTGGTTTGAGTCTCAGCACCAGTTGGTCTTCTACGCCAGCTCCCTTCTCTTCGTCTACGAAGGCCTCCCCTCTTCTTCCTCCTCATCCTCCCATAGTTTTCCTCTCAGCACCCCATCAACTGGCCAGACTGTGGTGAAAAGTGCCATGTTGTCAACAGCGGGTGACAGCAGTCAGGGTGGAGGGTGGAAAGGGAAACAAGAAGGGGCAGGGCAGGAGAAGGATATGGCTGAGTACAACAACAACAACATGCAGGTGGCGGTGCCCTTGGACTACAGCCTGTCCACCATCTACACCAACCACAGGAAGGGTTGCCATCAGCACTGTGCAAACAGTCATCTCCTCAGCAGCAGTGGAGACGGTGAAGCTGTGGAGAAGACAGGGAGCTCATTTTCTGGAGCCAACTACTCAGCTGTGTGTGGAGAAGACAACTCGGCATGGAAACGAACAGGTGAGTCCCAGCAGCCGCCAAATGCAAATGGAAACAAATCACAACTGGAAGGGAAGGATGAGGATGGTGAGAGGGAGAGTCACGGCTGGAGGAGGAGAGAGGACGAGGAGCTGATGGGACGAGGAGGCGATGCAACACAGGGGAATGGAAGAGACACAGAGGTCGAGGTCAGGATGATTGACTTTGCCCATGTATTCCCCAGCGACAGCCATGATCACGGCTACATCTATGGCCTCAAGCACCTGCTGATGGTGCTAGAGCAGATCCTCTGTGACGCCGCCTAGAGCCCCACCCCACACCTCCTGACCTGCTCAAAGTGAAGCCCTATCTGTTTTCTGTCAACCCTCAAAAGACAGAAACCTTGAGAGGAAAGAATCAAAAAAGTACATACTAAAACTCATCATTGTCAACTTCATCATCATCTCACCTGATTGTAATGGTCTGTCAGTCACATGTGTCTACCTGTGTGTGTGCATGTCTGTGAGCAGAGTGGAGAGGCTGACAGCCGTTTTCTCTGTGAGCAGCAGCACCGCGTGTACTGATCAGTCTGAGGAGGCATTACGACCCTGTACTTAAACACAACACCTACATCCGCATGACTTACTGATGCTCAGACAAGCTCCTCAAAGCCACCTGACCTCACCTATGGTCCATTTACAGTTCATTAGTACACCTGAAACTAGGGGTAGAAAATAGGACAGCATATACTGTGAGACAGAGGTTTTCCTGTACCATTTCTGCCATAGTAACTGTCCCTTTAATATCGCTGGTTGTATTAGGCAACAGTGGGGACAGCTACAGATTAGTGAGCGGCACTGTCTTCTAGCAGTATTGGGTTTCCAGGCGTTTTACAGCAGTGTGACTCAAATTCTCAGTGCATTTTCTCTTATCCACATCTAACAGCCATCCACGGTGGTCAGCTGGATTTGGTTCATTTAGTTTTACAGTACACTGTCAAATTACAGACAAACTAGGGCTGGGAAGCAGAAGTCTGGTCACTGGTCTCCATTGAAACCTATAAACAACAACAAACAGTGAAGTCAGGGTTCAGAATGGCCTCTTGACCGTTAAGTTGCTCTAAGTTTGTCGGCATCAGGTAAAACAGGAAGTCTTGAGAACATTGAGGTTTAAGTCGGGTCATGGTTTGTGATTTTTGTTGGAACCACCCTCTACAGGTATCGTAACTCAGGTAAACTTACTGTAAGAAAAGAAAACTGCTCAATATTACTACTATTCCCCACTCAGCAAGATGACCCTCATGCTGTCTGGTTGTTCAGTTCTAAATGAGTGTTTTATATAGCCTGATCTCATGTTTGTGACCTCTTAACCTTGATCTTACACATGTTGCACAGTCTTTTACCATGGCTCTTTTCACTGATCGACATGTTGGGCTGCCAAACCACTTCTCCCCTCTAAAGCCTGGGTGTCCTGGTTATGTGGAGTGTCTCCTCTTGCTGCCCTGGTGTGAGGAATAGGATTATATTGCTGAAGTCATACCTTGTACTACATTGCTTGTGAGCATTTTGAACATCAGTGCCATTGCTGTAGCATTAGCCATTTTGTTTTTCTGTGATTTTAAGTTATTCTAGTGAATAGATTTCTAAACAGGCAACAGTTGGAAAATCCACCGTTCTCTTCCCAGCGCCTGGAGAGATGACGTTTGGGGGTTTGACGCTGAAAACTACTGTGACTGATCAACATGATTTTACCTAATATGACTGAACTTTCCTAAAGATGTTAAGATGATAGTAAAAACACATTTGAAATGTTTTTGGCTTGACATGTCAGCATGCAGGTTGGTACGAAAACAGAAGTCGGCACATCTTTTTTTACACTAATCTGCTTAACTGGTTAATGCTGCTGTCTTTGGCACTGATTCTAATATTCTTGTGTCAGAGGTATTAAGACCAACACTGTCCATTCCTGTAGCTGCGATGGATTTCTGGAAGCCCATGGTTGTTGGAGTTTTATTTTTATTATTTTGTGTTATTTTCTTGTAGTAGTGACTTAATAATCTCATTTTGTTTGGAAGACACATTGAGCTTAGTTTGACAAAAAAAAAAAAAAGGTCTACTATTTGTTCTTCACGCAGTGGCCTTCGTTAGCATATGATGTGGCTGCAACAATCAAGTCAACAGACCTTGTGATAATGTTATGTGAATTTTGACAATGTATTTTCAGGCGCAGATTTTGTTTAGATTAACATTTTTATTGAGTTTGAAATGTCCTGGTCAGAAAGAGGAATGTCTGTCAGCAGCTAAACAAGTATGGCTACCTGTCACCCTGACATGGAGGTAGAGCAGGATTACCCAGGGCCCCTGGACAGGTTCACGGCCTAGTTTGTACTAATTAGATTCATTTCTAGTCAGTTCACCAATGTTTTTCATGCTATACAAGGGAATTTAAGATAATATGCACAGTAATGCACTGCTAAAGCACAACAGAGACCGAAAGTTAGACTTGTTAGAGTGCAGGTTTTCTAGAGAGAGATTAAGGATGTGTGACAACAGCAAACTGTGTCATTACACACAGAACAGACCTGTTCTTCCTTTTATCACCCTTCAATGCTAAGCAGTTATTTTTCTGTCAGTGTCTGGTCTGTACACATTTAGTGACTCCACCCTTGGCCTGCTGCACTAACAGTGGAGCAGCTTTATAGTCTCCTGTTAAGTCTCACTGCCCCAGTATGCTGCAGACCCACTTTGATTTAAGCCAATATTACGCACAGTGTTTGACTTTAACTCCCTTCAATCAGTGAGTGCCACTCAGACATTCAGGTTCACTGTATGTGGGCAGTTTTACATGCGCTCTGGTCCCCAGTCCACTGAAATGCCTGAGAGCTGGTTTCTCCTGTTTAAGGACTACATGAGGGTTTTTACCCTACAGTCCCATTTAGCATATTGTATAGTTCCTTCTTCACATTACAGCCAATCAGCCACAGTGGTTAAATAACTTAAATGAAAGTATATCTTCCCAGCCTCCTTCCCATTTCCATTCAGCATTACGTTTGCCTTTAAAGTCTTTTTTTTTTTAGGTGCACACACTGATTTACCACACAACAGTAACAAGCATAAAAGCAGATAGGATGCTCACTGTGGAGCGATAAGACTCTTCCACTGGAATAATTAGAACCTTTTACACTTGGAGAAAGGTCAGTGTGATTTAAAGCTCAGTCAATTTGCCAGTTAATAATTGTTACTTTATTCTGTCTTTAAATGATTGAGGATTTTTAATAACAAATTTAAAATGAAGCTGTACCTTGGATTTGAAATCCCTTCAAACATTATCTTTCTTCCATTTATTGATTTGCCTGCCCAACATGTCCACTCTAAAATTTCATTTACAGTTCAAATTTTTTGCCATTTAAAAATGAACTGAATCCAGTGTGCAGCAGGGAAAGCTTGGCCCGCTGTTGTGTGTTGGCTGAGTGACTTTGCTGCTCATACTGTACATCGGAATACAAATACTGTAAATGTGACACCATGAAATACATGCATTGTGGAATGTAGTATGATAGGCAGAAAAACTAAATGGAAAGAGTACTAATTTAAATATTTTTTTGTATTTCCAATTTAAAATATAATTTAGTCAGCATTTAAAGACAGAATAAGCAACTTATTTTTATACTGACTTATCATACATCCGGTTATAAGGCAAATAATATATCTGTAATGCATTTATTAATTACTGAACTCAGTGGCACACTCCAGGCTCACTGTGAAGGATACTATATCTAAAGTCTGGAAGTTGATTTTCACACCACAGTGAAATTGATTGACACCAATGGCAGGCTGCAAAGTAAAAGAAATTATATGCAATTGATACGGTAGTAAACAGACCAAAATGTGCACCCATACTAATCTAGTCATTTAGAACTCCTCGCCCTGCAGCAACACAACCAGTCCACTGCCCGCCTGTGACAGAACTGGTCACTTTTAATATGTGAAAGCAAACAAAACAAGAATTGGTCTGTGTAGTCAGTAAAGACTCAGGATAAGGGCCCAGCTACCACTACCCACCCCTTCTGTCTCAGCATGCTGCAGGACAATCCCTGGCTGCACATTTACCCATACTGGAAACTGATATGGCTCCACTGCATTTTAAATGTGATGCTGAAAGTCATGTTGTACACCATTTACTGCACAGGCTACATCAGAATAGGCCAGAGTGACTCGCAAACATTCAACAGGAGTTCACTTTACCAGTCCAGCTGTGGTCAGTAGAAGTTAAACTGGTGCAACATCTGTTTGACTTTTCACCACTGATGATTAAGATACATGTCACACTGACAGTGATTAGGTTGTCAGAGTGAACCTGTGTTTGGTCTGGCTCGTTTCTCTCTCATCTCAGTTGAAATAATGTTTTTAAAACATTGATATTATGATTTTATCACTGCAACACTATTAATACTTCACTAAGAAGAGACAAAAGAGCCAGTACTGTAAATATTACATAAGATTTAAAGCAACTGAATTTTCACAACACATTGAAACTGTGTGAAATCGGCAGCTGCCTGGAAGGTTTAACATCTACGGCAGACCTTCCTGGATGCTTTGAAAATAAACCGCAGAAATGTAAAAGCTTATGAAAGAGGCTAAAACATGCCACACCACCTTCCTTAATGGGGTCCAGGAAGAAGAAAGTCATGGGGCACTAGTGTTGTCTCAGCTAATCAGAATCACTTTCTTTCAGTTATTTTACAGCTCAGACTGACACCCCTGTCTGCATTGGATTTTGTTATGCTGCGTTTCTGTAATTTAGAAAGCAGCAGCAGCTTAATGCTTTGAACAATAATTTATGTACTGATCATACTTATCAGAGATGTCGTTCAAAGCTGAGATGAGCTGCATTATGTAATGACCCCTTTTCTGATTGGCTGATCTTTTCAAGCCTTCGTCTTGTATGTGATGACTTTTAATCCATTTGTCAACATGTGAGGCTTGATGGAAACTTAAAGGTGGAAATGCACAGTTAGCATGGCTGGCTGTTGATTATGGTGTTTAGCAGTGTGAATGCTTATAGCCATGAAAACAAAGCCTGTTGAAGGACAAAGTGTGAATGGAGCAGTTGAGCTTCTCAGCCATTAGTGGATTTCTGCGAGTCCTCTACTAACAGAGACATGTCCAACTGAAGTCCAATGCCTGGAGCTTAGTGAGGACCTGATCCTGGTCAGCCCTGTAATAGAAACTGAGCTGACCAACTTCTCAGTGTGGATTTTGAAGTGTTTGACTTTTGATATACTGGATTTAAAATGTCTTGAGGCAAAAGAAAATATAATCACTGTACATAACAGAGAGGAAGTCAAACATTTAAAGTCTCTCTACAACTACTAACCTGATACTCATTATTTTTCAACAATAAAAATATTCATCAAATTGTTTGATGAGCTGCATCATTTCTGGAGTCCTTTTGTATTTAATTAGAAAACTCATCCCAAACATCAGCAGTGTTCTACCTGACTGAAATGACCTCAGCAGGTTGCCTGCCCTGTCCACTAAATACAGTCTGCTTGGTTGTGACAATATCCACCTCTGTCACTTGGATCACTTCTTATCAGGTGTTAAACACCTGAACAGGAGACACTATATACTGTATTAGGAATTTTATTATAGGATTGAATAACAGTGTTTCTAGCTGATAGTTTTTATTCATAAAATTGATTGACTATACTACAGTACTGTCATTTCTACTTTTTAAAAATAGGGCCAAAGGTTCATGTTTGGCAGATACAGTAGTTATTTAAACTTAATGTTAGCATTAGCTCATCATCCTGAAAAACCAGGATAAAAGTATTAGTCAGCTGTGCTCCATGCTCAGCTGAGCAGAGGGACAACAGACAATGTGAAGGATCACTTCGTAGTGCATCAATCAGCCACTAACAGAGACTGTATGAGCAGTTTATCAAACAGCTGGTGAGCATGCTGAACACGGACTTTCAGACATTGCTTGTAATGCTAATGCTCACGGGACACTTAACCAATCATGGGTGACTGCTCTGTGCGCATGCACCCCCTCCCCCCTCACATTCCTGAAACTCAGGTTGATTTTATTACTACCTCCTGAGGGGTGCCGAAATTTTGCTCCCAGAACACACCTACAGATTGGCCTGAGGCCAGTAGAAACAAATGCAGAACCCGTGATGAGCATGTCTTGGTTCAACATGTTTTGGTAGATTTCTATAATGGAAAAATCCCTTTTGGGTAACTTTAGGATAGACTGGTGATCTGTCCAGGTTAGTACAACCCAATATCAGCTGGGATAGGTTCCAGCCTCAACCCAACCCAACCCAACCCCCCACCTATCCACAGGGATAAGTGGTATGGGAAACAGATAGATGGATCAGACTGACTATAAAAATAACTGTGTGGATGGGTTTCATGCTAGAACTATGTTTGTAAACAACAGCCAGACAGTGAATGTGTCTATCTTCCTTGTTCTTACAGTGATATAAGCTAAAACTTTATTGCCAAGTATCAAAAATACATACATACACACATACCAGTTAAAGAGCTACTGTAGCTAATACCCATCTAGCAAGCAAGCAAAGTTTATTTATATAGCACCTTTCTAAACCTGCGTTACAAGGTGCTTTCCAGTAAAACATAAATAATAATAATAAAGATACCTAAGACCAGATAAAACACATCTATACAGTAAAATAACAAGAAAAATACATAGTCAAAACAAATACTGTACATCAATCAATAAAATTGTCGAAGGCCCGTGAATACAAATGCATTTTAAGAAGTGATTTAAAAACAGACAGGTTCGGAGCAGATCTAATCTCCCGTGGCAGACCATTCCACAGTATAGGAGCCCGAAGTGAAAAAGCTCGGTCTCCCCAATGTTTCCGTCTGGACTTCAGCACTTCCAGAAACAACTAGTTCGAAGACCTAAGTGTCCTTTCTGGAGTATAAAAGCGCACAAGCTCAGAAATATATGAAGGTGCCAGACCATGTACAGCCTTATAGACAAACATCAACCATTTAAAATCAATCCGAAAACGAACAGGAAGCCAATGTAGAGAGGCAAGGACTGGAGTGGTATGCTCTAGAGAAGAGGAGTTCAAAGAGTTTACATCCAGGATGTGAGGGGTCTGCAGAAATCTTCTCTGTCCTCCTCTTGACCTGTGAGGTGTACAAGTCCTCCATGATTCTTTCTGCAGTCCTGACTGTTCACTGGAGTCTGTTCCTATCCTGTTTGGTTGCTGAGCCAAGCCAGACAGTGATGGATGAGCAGAGAACAGACTTAGTGATTCCTCTGTAAGCTGACTCATCACTGTCTTGAATGAAGCCGATAACTGTTGTGTCATCTGCAAACTTCAGGATTTTTGCAAATGGGTCCCCTGAGGTGCAGTTGTTGGTACAGATGGAGAACAGCAGCAGGAAGAGCACACATCCCTGAGAGGCACCTGTGCTGATAGTCCAGGTGCTGAATGTGGTTTTCCCAGCCTCACCTGCTGCTTCCTGTCTGTCAGAAAGCTGTTGATCCACTGACAGATGGAGGCAGTGAGCTGGGTCAGTTTGGAGTGGAGGATGTCCGGGATGATGGTGTTGAATGTCGAGCTGAAGTCGACAAAGACGGCCCGTGCATAGGTCCCTGGGGAGTCGAGGTGTTGCAGGATGTAATGCAGTGCCATGTTGACTGCATCATCCACTGACCTGTTTGCTTGGTAGGCAAACTGCAGGGGGTTCAGGAGGGGGTCTGTGATGGCGTTCAGGTGGGCCAACACCAGTCTCTCAAAGGACTTTATGACTACAGATGTCAGATCGCCGGGTCTGTAGTCATTAGGTTTCTTGGGAACTGGGATGATGGTGGAACATTTAAAACAGGAGGGAACTACACATGGCTCCAGTGATGTATTGAAGATCTGTGTGAAAATGGGAGCCAACTGGTCGGCACAGACATTCAGGCAGAATGTGGTGGTCACACTGTCTGGGCCTGGTGCCTTTCTGATCTTTTGTTTTTTAAAAAGGCTATGCACATCTTTTTTCTACAGGCCCTCAGAGGTGGGAGGCTGAGGAAGAGAGGTGGTCTTGACTCCTGTGGGAGGCAGCTACTGGTTGTCAGTCCAAGGTGAGGTGAGAGAGGGGTGTAGAGTTCTGCCTCTCAAACCTACAATAAAACTCATCCAGGTCTGTAGCTGCAGTCTCAAAAACACCCCAGTCTGTACAGTCAAAGCAGGGCTGTAGCTTTAGCTTTGCATCATCAGTCCATCATCTATCCAGGGGTTGGATATTAATACAAGTGCAATATAGATTGTTACTGTAAAACAAGGCTATTATATTTTCTACATCAAAATGTTCTGGGATAGCCATACATAACTTTTGATTTGATTTGATTTATTCTTTCAACAGTTGATATGACAACACACATAATTTTACACATAATCCAATATCAATTTGCTTATACCTAGTACATGCTTGAATGGAGTAGGAAGAAGTCAGACTTATCCAGTCCTACCCCATGACATCATCTTACCATCATTGGTTTGCAAGCAGTAAATGATTCACTTATACCCACACACGTATTATACTAAAAAAAGATTACAACAGTGTTAACATTCTTACATCACACAAGTAATATACTAAAGAATTATTACAAAATGTACACCACACCCACAATTGCCCATGTAATTAATCATTGAGCCTGTTCTTACATATATCTTGATTGACGCATACCTTTATATTTGTGTTTAAACTCGTCAATTCTATTACTATTTTTTATGTCTACACTTAAATTATTCCATAGTTTTACCCCACTTATGGAAATACAGAATCTTTTTTTGGTTGTATTTATAGCATGAATTTTTTAATTTAACTGACCCCTTAAATTGTATCCCCCTTCCCTTTCATTAAATAGTTTTTGAATTCCACCTTCTTCTCACTGTGACTTGAGACAAGTTTTTCCATTATGCAGTCTCTATACTCTCTTTAAGGCCAGTGGGTAGTACTTGAGAAAGATCCTGTGGGCAATCTCATAAGTGTCTCCCTGAGGCTTGGTCGGGTACCTTCTACCATTATAAATGAATCCCTTTTCTACCTGGAAAACTGCCTGGTTGAAGGCGGTCTGGTTAAATGGTTGGCCACTGTTCAGACATTCTACCAGCATGTAGACAAACAGTCCCCAACGCTGGGTGTAGTAGTCCTCCACGAGGCCTCCCCACTCTTTATTGGCATAGTCCAGGATCTCACCACTGGGACCCCATAGTGTGAGCTGGTTTCTGGCATTCATATCATAGAGTTGTGCCTCCTTCTCATCGAGAGCTAAGGACTGTGCCTGCTCCAGCCACGTCCCCAACAGGAAGTGACGGTCACTACTCAGCAAATGATTGAGCTCAGGCAGAAGGTCATAAACTAGCACGCCCCCTGCAGCCAGCAGCTCTGCCATCTTTTTATTCTGGAAGGCATCTGCAATATCCTGGTAAAAAGATGTGGTCAAGACTTGCAGGACCTGTCGAGTCACATCCACAAGGTCATACCGGAAGGTCTCCTTGGACATGAGAGAAGGAGCAGCCTCCATAATCAGTTTCCAGGCTTTGTACAAGTCCGCTGGGTCATACCAAAGGGCAGAATTCATGTGAAAGGAAGGTCGATGCACCAGTGGGCTATGGTTGTGGTTTCGGTAATGTGGCACAGTGCAGTTGTAGACACTGGCAAAGAGGAGTCTCCATGCAGTGGTTAGGCTCTCTTGTGTGCTGCCATAGCGGCGTACTGCATAAAGTGATACCCACTCAGACAAGTTGACTGGTTCTTTGCGCCAAGCCAGCTCGCTCATTAATTCATACACCACAGCATTCTGCTCAATACCCTCAGGCGTCATGCCTATGCCCACCAGGGTGGAGTTTGGGAAATTCAACGCTTTAAAGACCCCAGAGTTGATGCTCTCCACTGTGCCAAATAAGCCACTGCTGCCTCCAAAGTTGTGCAGCATGCACCAGATAAATGGCTGCCCATAGAAAGACTGGGTGTAGGAGAAAATTGGCTCAGTCTCTGCAAACAGGTCAAGCACAATCATTCGTCCGAGTGGCACTCCATGTAGTAAGGCCTGAATCTGGGCTGGCTTCCAGAACCCTGCATCACTGAAGAACAGCCAGCCTTGCATCAACCAAATTGCCTGAGGATCAACTAGAGGGAAACAAAAAAAAAGAGATTTAGATGAGGGACAAGAAAGGACAGTTCTTGAACACAGCTGAAAATCAGCAGGGACATTAAGGGGGTCTGTCTAATAGAAGTAGACAACAGGTCATTCATGGGCCATCAAACTAGGTCACTTATTTTACTTGGATCCCAAGATACCAGCATTCAGACAGCTTACAAGCACTGTCAGGTTTATAACTCCCAATGTGAACAGGATGTTAGCCAGACACACACCTTTAGTCATCGAGGCAAAGACCGAGCGACTGATTGCAGACAGGTAGGCGGGGTCAGAGGAAGGTGGGGTCATCTCATTGAAGGTGTCAGTGTTGTATATGTGATCAGTGCCAAACAGCTTCACCACCTGGGACAGATAGAGGTAACCAATCTGGAGGAAAAGTGGGTCCCGAGGGTCTAAGATATAGGAACATGAAAAGCTACAGTTGAACCCAGCCCATGGCCCCAACCTGGTTACATTTGCTCTTGGATATAACCTGAAATACAAAAACACG